CTCTCTCTCTCATTCTCAAATAAATGAATAAATATCTATTTTTAAATCTGATTCAGTGTATAGCCTTTTTCTTTTTTAAAAAAATATTATTTATTAGAAAGGCAGAAATACAGAGAGAGAGAGAGAATATCCATCTTCTGGTTCACTTCCTAAATTGCCACCACTGCCGGAGCTGGGCCTATCTGAAGCCAGGAGACAGGAGTTTCTTCCAGGTCTCTCATGTGGGTGCAGGGGCCCAAGCATTTGGGCCATCTTCTACTGATTTCCCAGACCGTATCAGAGAACTGGATCAGCGCCAGTCCCCAAAACTTTTTTATAATCAGTTTTAACACAGACGGTAATATCTTTACAGCTTCTTCTGTTATACTCAGCTTTACCAAAGAGCTTCATGGTTTAGGAAACACAGTCCCCAAAGTCACTAAACTACCTACTATTTGTACTCAAAAATGTCCATGATTTCAATTTTTTTCTAGAGTTTTATGTACCACTTGGGGTTTTTCTTTAGTTCTAAGAGTCTTCCCCTAATCGCTTCAAAGTATTAATGCCTTGAGGATAATATCACACATGAACTATAAAAATTTTCTACTATTCTACTCTAACAAATTCATATTGAAAAATATGTCATAACAGAGAACGTTGTGTTAGGAATAATTATCAGGATTTTTCTCTTAAGCACACTGATTTAACTTGGAGTGAGGGAAGAATCAAGGTTATATGAGTGGGCCCTGTGGTTCAAACAATGCAAAACTATTTTGTTAAAAAGATTTATTTATTATTTATTTGAAAGTCAAAGTTATAGACAGAGAGGTCTTCTATCCTCTAGTTCACTCTCCCAAGTGGCTGCAATGGCCAGGGCTGAACCAGGCAACAGCCAAGAGCCAGGAGCTCCATCTTGGTCTCCCATGGGATGGCAGGGGGCCCAAATACTTGGGCCAACCTCTGCTGCTTTCTCAGGCCATTAGCAGGGAGCTGGATTGGAAGTGGAGCAGCTAGGACATGAACTTGGTGCCTTTATGAGATGTCGAGGTTGGGGGTGGCAGCTTTACCAGCTATGCCACAATATCAGCCCCTCAAAATCTTTTTGAACTACAACTTTTAATATTGATACCAGCTTGTTCTCAAATGTGGGGAGAATTTGTACAATGTTCTCTTGTATGTTTCGAAAATAGTTTTTTAGTAGCTAATTATGATGCATACAACATGAATAACAACAACCTAAGAATCAGAACATCACACGTTTAGTTTAGTTTTCTGTAGACTGCTAACTGGGTAGTCTTAAAACCAAAATTGGTGCAGCTGTTGCTTAGCCTATCTGTTAAAACACTCATGTTTCATATCAGAGTACCTAGATTCAATGTCTAACTCCAAGTTTCTTACTAATGTAGATCCTGGGAAGCAGCAGGTATGGCTCAAGTAATTGGGCTCTTGCCATCCATGTGGGAAATGGATTGACTTTTCAGCTCCCAACTTTAACCCATGAAAGCACTTGCAGAGGAAATCAGTGGATGAAAAATCTCAGTCTCAAGCTAATAAATAATAAGACATTAAATTTTTTAAGAAATACACAGTCAATATTCACGGACCTCAGAAATCTGTTGAGAATATCTCTTGAGAAGTTCTGTTATGGATTGAATGTCTGTGTCCTCCAAAGTACATATGTTGGATCCATAGACCCCAGTGTGATGCTACTTGGAAAACAGAACTTTTGGGAGGTAACTGGGGATGGATGAAGTCATGAGGTCATGAAGGTAAGGACCTCACGCTGGGATTAGCGCCCTTGTAAAAACAGACTCGAAGAGAGCTTGTTCTCACTCTTGTTGCATATGAGGGCACAGCTAAAAGACAGTCATTTGCAATCCAGAGAGATCTCAACAGAACCTGACTATTCTGGTACCCTGAACTCAGACTTCAAGCTTCCAGAACTTGAAGAAAATAAATGTGAGAAAATAAATGTCTATTATTTAAGCCACTCATATGTGGTATTTTGTTGTGACAGCTCAAGGCCCAGAATTCAAGTTCCTTCAAATTTACCAAGTCAATGATCCAAGGAAAGATAATGCAGACATACTTTGTCCTTGTTCTCCCACCAAGTACAGCTACAATCCTTGGACATTATAACTCAAGCACAGGAAGACTCTGAAACATGGAGAGAAGTGACAAGCCTGCTAGGGACCTCATTACTGAAGAACAACTCAGTAGTGAGTTCCCTAAATTTTCTTGTTGCCTCACATACACCCAGAGTACTGAGAACCTGGCAACCTAGAAGCACCAATGAACACAGAAAGATATAGCCTCCAGGAAAACCTATTCTTACTCCATAGCCACAAGACCAGGGAAAGGGCAAACTGCAACACACGTGCACCAAACTTTTAGGCAATGATAGCTCTACTCCATTCAAACACCACAGGAAAACTAGTCTCATTCCTATCCTTGCCAGCAAAGGCCATGTGCAGAGTCTACACTTTAGTTCTCCAGAGGTTGTCATGTAGCCAATCCCTAACACTGCTACGATGATATCAAAGAAGTAGGAAGTGGGACTTTCATTCCTACCATGTAGCAGTGAGTCTAATTCTTATGGTATCAAAGGAATCTGTACTTCCACCTGACCTGGCAGTAATGAAGCAACCCCTCTCCCTCCTCACTGAGGTCAATCAGAGGAGGCTGCTAGGGTTTGAATGTCCATACAGTTTCATTGGACACTGTAGGCATCTCTCAAAAATTCCACCTCCAAATATCATAGCTCTGACCTTCTTAATACCTTACAGTGGGAATACATTTCAACACAAGTTTTGCTATCACCACACTCTTCTTTTTCACATAGACTACAAAAAACTGAAAACATTTACACAGTTCTCTTGAGAGAAAAATCTAAATCAAAAAATCAAGTTTTTTCCATGGTTTTACTGAAAGTGCAATAAGAATTAATGAAAAATGCATCTTGGGGAAGACATTTCTCCTAGTAGTTAAGACAAGGTTTGAGATGCCTACCTCCCATATTAAAATACCTGGGTTCAATATCCAGGTCTAGCTCCTGACTCCAGCTTCCTGCTAATGCAGACCCTAGGAGGCAGAAGTGGTGGCTTCAGTGATTGGGCTTCCTGTCACTCAAGTGGGAGACCTGGATTGAGTTCCCAGCTATTGGCTTTGGCCAGCCTGGCCCAGTCCCACACTGAGTCTGGAAATTTCAGGCATTTGGGGAGTGAATCAGTGGATGGGAACACTCTCTCTATGTGTATGTGTGTTTGTGTGTATGTATGTCTCTCTCTCTCTCTCTCTCTCTCTCTCTCTCTCAAACTCTATCTCCCAAATAAATACATGTTTTAAAAGTACATCCCACTAAGAGCTGAGAGACGAGAATGTAGGAGCCCCCTTTAATCCCTGAGGTGTCCTTAGTTTCCCACTGTAGAATGTGAGTGTTCAGTCTGGTCTTTTTTCTGCCTGATGGGAAAACTATGCAGTTTAAATAGACTTACACATGAATTGCTTTGGGTCCCTTGGGATCAAGGGACAGCATGAAAATTTGCAGTTATACTATTCATTGACACAATTATATTTTCTTTCATACAAGCATGACTTAATAAAACTTCATTTCCTTAAATCCCTGTGGGTAAGTTGTTTTTTCTTTTCCATTTAACAAGACACTGGGAAGTTCAGTGGTCTGCCCCAATCAGGTAATCTGCTGTAATTAGAACAAAGAGTTCTCAGAACACCTGCTGTGAGGAAGCAACACCAGAGCATGTGGGGCCTTGGGAGCAGTCTAATTGTATAAGGATCGCTAATGTATGGCTCAGCTACGCATTTCTGCTACAGAACCAGAAAGATTTCCTCTAGATTTCATTTTTGACAGAGCAGGGATTTTTCAGTTGTTAAGACAGAGAGAAAGAGAGAGAGAGAGAGGGAGAAGGAGAGGGAGGGAGAGAGGGAGAGGGAGAGTAAGAGAGAGAAATGAACCCTGAACTGCAGAATCAAAATCATAATCTCTGCTTTTAACAGAAAAGTGAATTCAAGATTTAACATCTTCTCACCTTATCTTGAAACAATACTCCAAGGGAAAGTCTGCCTTCCTTCCAACCAGCTGGCACAAGGTGCTTTGCTTTAAACTTTTGACTCAAAAATGTCCTCTTTTTAGGATCTCCCAACAAAGCACTATGTAAAACAAGCTGTTTTTATGAAGCATGTATGATTCCCTACTGAATGGTTAAATGTTGATTAACTGGAGCTGTATGAAGAAAAGAGTACAATGCTTTTTGTCTGCATTTGGGGATTATTATTTATGGTATGAAGAACTCCAGTGAGTAGCTACCAAGAAGTGAAATGGGATGCTCTCTTTGGTTCCTCTGATGTTTTCTGTACTGCCTATAGCATGTATGAATTGTGAGCCTTTGCACAGTTGGGTAGTGCAAAAAGAGAAATCTATAGAAGCAAACAGCACTCACCCTCGAATTATTGCTTTCTTATTTTATGGGTTTTTTTTTAGTTGTGTTTTTGGTGTCCTAATTTTACTTTCTGTTCTTTGGCAACACAAGGGAGAAGTAAAGTCCAATAGGAAGTATTTATGAAGCTTCAGAAGAAGCTACAATATATTATTTTAGATAACTTGCTATTTTTGTTTAACCCAGGCACTGAGAAGTAGAGAATCTGGAATTCAGACAGGCAATAGAGAAAGCTAGAGGAGTCTCTCCTCATTGTCCTACTTTAGGCTGTCATGTGGAAATAAGTAACACACCGTGTTTTCAGTCATTAACATGTGCTATTGTGGCATATCTGCCAGGAGAGGACAACAATCCTGGTTTTACCCATTCCAGGAGTAGTCGTAAGTGCTCAACAAATTAATCTGAACCCAAAATATTGAATAAATATGTGAGACTTCATGAAGATAGAATTTATGAGAACACCAAAGAAGCAACAGTTATTACAAGTTCAGGCTCTGAGTTGAACAATTTGGGTTTGCATTTGGATCTATCATCTATGAATTGCATGACATTGGGCAAATTACTTACTCCAACAAACCTCCATCTATCTTCATGGGAACACGACCTAAAACAGCCAAAAAAGGCTCAGTCAGCTAACAAGTAGATAAACAAAATGTAGGGTATCAGTGCAATCAAATATTATTCAGCCATAAAAAGTAATAAAATATTGACACATGTAGAACATGAATGAACCTTGAAAACATTGTGCTAAGAAAACCAGACACAGAATGATAATATCAGATAATTACATTTACATTTACAGGAAATGTTCAGAATAGGCAAATCCATAGAAAGAAAGTAGGTTAGTAGTTACCAGGGGCTGCTGAGAGGTGAGGTTAGGAAGCACAGGATCTCCTTCTAGAGAAATGAAATATTCTGAAATAAATCATGGTAATGGTTACATAGCATTGTGAATCTATCAAAAATTATACACTTTTTTAAAGAGTGAATTTTATGGTATGTGAATTATATTGTAATTTGGTAGTGATGGAAATCCCATGATTATCGTGTTTAAAAGTAGGTTAATAACTCATAGAATGGCAGATGTCCTAAACAGCACTCTGGCCTCAGAATCAGCCCTTAAGGCATTCGGATATGGCTGAAAAGCCCATGAGAGTATTTTAAGCATGGAAAGCCAAGACACTGTGGCAAAAAAAAAAAAAAAAAAAACACCCTAAATGAAAGATCTCTGCGAGTGAGATCCCAGCGGAAAGAACAGAAGGAGGTACCTTTCTCTGAAGGGAGGAGAGAACTTCCACTTTGGCTATGACCCTGTGTGAATAGGATCAAAGTCAGCGAACTCAAAAGGCTTCCATAGCCTTGGCAACTCATGACTAGAGCCTAGGGAGATTACTGACGCCATAAACAGGAGTGTCAAGTTGTTAAGTCAACAATAGGAGTCACTGTGTACTTACTTCTCATGTGGGATCTGTCCTTAATGTGTTGTCCAATGTGAAGTAATGCTATAACTAGTACTGAAACTAGGCCGGCGCCGCAGCTCACTAGGCTAATCTTCCGCCTTGCGGTGCCGGCACACTGGGTTCTAGTCCTGGTCGGGGCGCCAGATTCTGTCCCGGTTGCCCCTCTTCCAGGCCAGCTCTCTGCTGTGGCCAGGGAGTGCAGTGGAGGATGGCCCAAGTACTTGTGCCCTGCACCCCATGGGAGATCAGAAGTACCTGGCTCCTGCCATCGGATCAGCGCAGTGCGCCGGCTGCAGCGTGCTGGCTGTGGTGGCCATTGGAGGGTGAACCAACGGCAAAGGAAGACCTTTCTCTCTGTCTCTCTCTCTCACTGTCCACTCTGCCTGTCAAAAAATTTTTAAAAAAAGCAGTATTTTACACTTTATGTTTATGTGTGGGTGCAAACTGATGAAATCTTTACTTAATATACACTAAATCGATCTTCTATATATAAAGATAATTGAAAATGAATCTTGATGTGAATGGAATGGGAGAGGGAGCAGGAGATGGGAGGGGTGCGAGTGGGAGGGAAGTTATGGGGGGGGGAGCCATTGTAATCCATAAACTGTACTTTGGAAATTTATAATTACTAAATAAAAGTTAAAAAATAGGTTAATAATAGTTTTTCTCATGGGATTATTGCAATAATAAAATAATGCAAGAAATGTGTTTTAATACTGTGATGAGGACACAGTGAGTGCCAGATTAGCATTAATGATTAAGGAGAATCTAAACAATTCACTATGCATAATTAACATGTAATTCACTATAACAACTTTTCAATGATTTCTTTCATCCAAGCTCCAGTCCCCCCCTTAGTGACCTAGTGATTGATCTTAAGCAATTTGGATGCGGGAGAAAGTTCAAATCCAGTCTGCACCTTTCATTATTTCCATGCTTATCTTCCCTCACAAGTGGGATGGCCATATTAAACAGGTTAAAATATAGGAAACCTAGTTAAATCTGAATTTCAGACAACCAACCAATGAATTTAATATAAATATATCACAAAGGTTACAAAAGATACACTTGTACTTAAAAATGGAATATTTGCAGTATACTTATCCTAAAAAAGTTACATATTAATTATCTGAAATTCAAATTGAGCTAAACATCCTGGATTTTATCTAGCAATACTACTGCCCATGAAGCTGGAAGGTTTCTTTCTGATCTTCAGCTCGTATTAGACTTAGTAAATGCCCATGTTCAAAGCACAGCCAAGAAGCCACATGTATTTATTAACAGATTTCTATATAAATCTTGACTCCACATCAAATGTGTTCTATGAAGTTATGATCTTGCTAAGAAGTCCCACAGTGCTCCCCACCTCTGAGCAATAGTATGCCTGAATGTGTTTTTTACACAGATACAATTCCTCAAGGTCTCAGCACCTGTATACAAGCTGGCAATAGGTGAGATTACACTATTTTAGTTAGAAAAGGTATTCCTTTTGGGAGTGGAACAACTTCATTTGCACAGATCCTTTCTGGGAAATGTTTACCTTCCCCTCTCCAGCAATAACTCCAGTTTAGTAACAAATATCTACAGTTTACACAAAAAGAAAAACAGAAATGTATGCAAAAATATGGTGTGAGTGCAAAATATGTATTAAGCAGCCATTGGCAAATATACCATCAGATATGGTTAAAATGTCAATTACCAAAACCAAACATTCAGTCTTTAAGAATTAGGTAAATATTGATAAAATTGTATAAACATTATGATTCTATCTTGAATTTAACATTCAAAAGCAGCTTATTACTATTTAATTGGAAATTTTCCTATTCTTTCACAAATTTTATACTATCATCAGGTTTCCCTCATTTTCAGCATACATTTTCACACAGTGAACATCAGAGACAGACTTGAACCTAAACTTTAATCAGAACTAAAGATTGTCCCATGTCAGTCTTGGACTATTTGAGTCATAAAGTATTCTACATTGCTGTTTTATTATTTTTTTTTTCAATCAGGGAAGGTATCACTGACAGGACTGGCTACATAACTTGTAGGACCTACAGCAAAATAAAAAATAATAATATTGTAAAAAAAACTCATCAAGAATTTCAAGATTCTGAAAACAGAGCATTAAATAAAGCACAGGGGCCTATGCAATCTTACAGAGCTCATGCCCAAGAGGCAGCCCTGACCACAGAAATCACAAACATCAAACTGAGTCAACATTTTGGAAATGTGATTATTGGCAGTTATAGGCATTCTTTTTCCAAGCCAAACATAAAAATCATCTAAAACTTTCTTTTACTATATATTGGTCTCATTTGATGCTTTTACCTAATCCTCAGAATCCTGAAAAAAAAATCAAGTAACATGAGCCATGGGCTACCTCCAGGTGAGGAAGGAACAGCTGAAGCTCAGGAGTGGGAAGATGTTTAGTGGATGATCTTTGGTACTTTGTGCATTTTGAACTATGTTATGTGTCAAAAATGAATAAATTGAAAGAGAAGTTTGAAGCCTCAAATCAAACCCAGATGAACAAGTCACAGACATTATGAATGTATGCAAGAGAGCACCATGTAGATGTTTTTATGGAAAGCTGGGAAGGGTTCTGGGAAGCCACTGATAGAATTTACAAGGTAGATTAGAAAAAGTAAACTAGTGTAAACTCCTTGAAGTGCTTCACCTCCTAATGCGCAATATGTTTTCAGTTTGAGAAAATTATGTATCATCACAATTTGAGAGTTTAGGGCCTAATTCAAGCTCAATGTCATTAACCATTTGTCGCTCCCCCTCTTCGTGGAGGAGCAACACTGAACCCTGCGCTGTTCTTTCTGTCTGCTCGGCCCTCCCCGGGTTTGCTGCTGGTTCTTCCCGGGTTGGCTACTATCCCTTCCACCTCCGTGGAAGGGCAGTTCCCCCTGGCCGCATTCCCCACTTCCGCAGGGGAACGGCACACCGCCGGCCGGCTTTCTCGGGGGGCTGCACAGGTGTTCCTTCAGCTAGATGTTCCCCTTAGATGTTCCCCATAGATGTTCCTGGTGCATGCCGTCTCTCTCCTCCTTTATAGTCCTCCTCCGCCAATCCCAACTCGGCTGCCCACACGCCGAGTACGCTGCTCTCCAATCAGGAGCAAGTCCTACAGTTAATTGGTTGAACTGGAGGCAGCTGTGCGGAAGCTGTTTACTTCTCTCCCAGCGCCATATTGTGGGAGAGCAGATGCATAGAATAAGTCTTAATTCCAGTAACTCAGTCTAGTCCGGTTGCTCCCCACAACCATTAAATTTCATTAATGCTCTAAAGCTTTTTCTTATGCTTAAACACCATGAATTTAGCTTACATGATTCTATTTTCATATTCCTTTATATTTTCTCTTTTATTCTATAATGTGTTTAAAACACATGTACTATTTTATGCAATGAGGTGAAATATTCTCAGTATTTACTCCAGAAAGTAACGAGTATACTTTGAGATGAAATTACTTTGAACAGCACTTGTCTCAACGGTTGAGGAACAGTTTTGTTTTTCCATACTATTTGTTAAACTCTTTACTAAGTGTAGGGTTAATCTTATGTATATAAAGTTAATTGAGGCCGGTGCTGGGGCTCAATAGGCTAATCCTCCACCTGCGGCGCTGGCACACCGGGTTCTAGTCCCGGTTGGGGCACCGGATTCTGTCCGGGTTGCCCCTCTTCCAGGCCAGCTCTCTGTTGTGGCCAGGGAGTGCAGTGGAGGATGTCCCAGGTGCTTGGGCCCTGCACCCCATGGGAAACCAGGATAAGCACCTGGCTCCTGCCTTCAGATCAGCACAGTGCGCCAGCTGCAGCGCATGGCCACAGTGGCCATTGGAGGGTGAACCAATGGCAAAGGAAGACCTTTCTCTGTGTCTCTCTCTCATACTGTCCACTCTGCCTGTCCAAAAAAAAAAAAAAAAGTTAATTGAAAAAAATTAAAAACAAGGTAATTGAAAAACATTTTGATTGGATTAAGATGGCAGAGTACAGAGGTGGTTTAAAGCTCTAGTCTAGGAGAAGATAGTTTAAAGAAGTGGAGAGAGTGCAGTCTCAGGGAAAAGTTAGGGAGAAAATGACAGAGGGAATTCCATGCAAGCTAGTGGGATGCAGTGGACCTAGATGGAGGGACCCCAGCA